CACACACACACACACACACACACACACACACACACACACACACACACACACACACACACACACACACACACACACACACACATCGAGACTGACAAATGAAATGCAGCATTTAGCTCGGCCGGGAAATGAAAAATAAAACGAATTGCACTACTGAGATAGGGTGTAAAGGAGAGAAGAAGGAGGGAGGGAGGGAGCGAGAAAATATAGCGTTAGGGAGAAGGGAAATCATTGGAAGTTCTGGTGGAGGGAGTAAGGAGGAGGAAAGGGAGGGCTAAGGAAGGAGGGAGCATCACTTTCTCTTTTCACCTCCACTTCCCCCTCTTTCTCCGCTTTCTTTCGCAGACCTTCACCTCCACTTTCTTTTCTTTCTCCTTTTTCCCCCTCTTCGGAACCTTGACCCCCACTTTCTCCTCTTTCCCCTTTTTCTTTCTCAGAGTCTTTGCCTCCCCTTTCACCTCCTCTCCCATTCCCATAACTTCGTCTTCCAAATCCCTTGTACCTGACCTTATTTCTGCCTCCTTTTCCTTTCTTGAACCTTTCCTTATAAATGCAGTCGTTTTCTCTCTCTCCTGTTCTTCCTCTGCAGCTTTCTTCTTTGCAGCTCTCGTCTTCCTCTCCGTTGTCAACACCACCTCCGCCTTTCGTCTCTTAACATTCTTCTCCAAATTCTTTATTTTCATTTCCGTTTCCGTTTCCGCTTCCGCTTCCGCTTCCGCTTCCGCTTCCGCTTCCTCCTCTTCCTTCTTCACAGCTTTCTTTCTTAAGGCCTTCATTTCCACCTCCTTCATTTTAACTCCCAATCTCTCCTTTTCTTTTGGCAGTTTCATCTTTGCGGTGGCCCTTGTTCTCGTCACTGCGTTCTTCTCTGAAGCTTCCGTTTCCTCCTCTTCCTTTATTTCCACAGCTTTCTTCGTCAAGGCCCCCATTTTTACCTCCACTCTCTCCTTTTCTTTAGATTTATCTTTCTTCGTCAGAGTGCTTGATTTCCCCTCGGCATCCTCGTGGCGTCCTCTGCTCACCGCTGATGTCTCCTTCTTTATTTCTGAAGCTTTTGCTGGCAAGCCTTTCATTTTCACCTCTGATTGCTCCGTTTCCCTCYGTATAGATTTCTTGCTTGGAGCCCTTGTCTGCCTCTCCACACGTTTATCCTGGCCTCTGGTCACCCCCTCCACCTTCTCCCCTTGCCTTTTCAAATCATCATTCTTTCCCAAAGCCTTCATTTCCGCCGCCATTTTCTCCTTTACAAGCTTTTGCAAAGCCTTTGTCATGAAGGCGGTCTTTTCCACCTCCACTCCCTCTCTTCCCTCTCTACTAGCTTTCTTCTTTGTGGCCCTCGTCTTCGCCTCCACTTCCTCCTCTTCCTCTTCCAATACCTCCTCCTCCTCCTCCTCCTCCTCCTCCTCCTCCTCTTCCTCCTCTTCCTCCTCCTCCTCCTCCACATCGTCGTCTTGCTCCACCTCTTCCTCAACTGGTTCTACATCCTCGTCACTTTCTTCCTCTTCCGCCTCTTCCGCCTCTTCCACCTCTTCCACCTCTTCCACCTCTTCCACCTCTCCGCTGTCCAACTGGTCCCCATCTTCTGTGTCTTCTGCCTTTTCGCCGCCTTTCTTGTGCATGTCTACTATCCTACTCCCCGAATCTTTACGACAGCTTGGGACTCCTGCCGCTTCATTTTCTTCTTCCTCCTCCTCGTCATCACTGTACTCGTTCAAGTTATCGTTCTCTGAGCAACCGCCTATTTCTGAATCTTCCTCTTCATGATTCTCATCTTCAACTTTGTACACTTTGCCCCCATCTCCGCAAGATTTCCAATCTGTCGACTCATCTTCCACTTCGTAAGCCTCACTAGATTCACAGTCCTCTGACCCGCCTTCGACTTCATAAGCCTCATCCTCATTTTCGCCGGACCCGTTATCTTCAGCATGATAATTTGCGCTGCCAAGTGCTTTTCGCGGCCGAATCGGAAGGATAGGAGAGTAATTACTAAGGAACTCGTCGTAGTCCCGGCCAGGCTTGCAGACTACGAAATTGGCTAGGTCAGAATAGTCATCCCCATCGTACTCCCCGTTCTTTATCTGTTCCTTAATTGCAGCCTTGACGAAGGGATTGCCGCTCGCGGGCACTGCTTGTGCAGACGGGTCCCTCTCTGCAATCACATGCTGATTTGTTGCAATTTCCTCTCGAGACGTCATCCTGCCGTCTGTCTGTCCAGGCTTCCTCGTCTTCTTGTGATCCGAACGGGGCCGCAACCCATTTTCAGCCCCCGTTCTCCTGAGCGTGCTGCTTTTCCTGCCCTTATGTGTCATGCCCCCACCCTGCTCGGTCCAACCTGCTGTCACTGCTTGTCAGCACATGTCCACTTGTGACCTATCTTCTCCTTTCAAAAGCTGTGTTACGCCTGTTCCCTCCGAGGCGCACAACATACTACAATCACGACTTCCATGCGATTTACACCAGTCATGATGGTTGCCTCTGGCCCAGCCAATATTCACATGTTCAACTCCACTGACCACCTCTTTCTTCCCAGTCCGAGAGCACGAATTGGACTGCATCACCACGTTAGTCCACAGTTGAGTCTCCGATGAAACTGCTTGTTTCTGCTGCTTCGCCGAGGTACGGGCACTGCTCATTTGCTTATTCCGGTAACCCAGTCCCCTCCCATCCAATACTACAGGTCCCTGGTTTTCAGCATCGGTATCGCCATCTTGATAAGGTGGCTCTTTTGCCTCTAGGCAACCACTTCTCTCTTCTGTGATACATGTACTCCCTCTCCTTCCAGTCAATTGCTCCGTGCTCTCCTTCTTCCTCTCGCCCCGTCCCGCATCCTGATCACTGTCATCTTCTTCTTGATTGCAACAATTTTTCCTTCTCCAATCGAGTCTCACCTCCGATAACTCTGCTCGATCTTTGTTTCCTTGAATCTGAGATGAGGCACTGACATTGRTCGGCGCATTTTYGCCCCCAGTATGCGGGGCATACCGCCCCCCAAGAGCGGTCTTGTATTTTGCTTCGGCATCGCCAATTGCTCCGCCTTTGTTGCTCTCTGTCCCTCCCTTCTTGTCTTGATTCCGAAAGCGCATTGCATCAACCACCCCTGCTGTTTTTGTCTTCCCAACCTCTGCCTGCTCACRCCATGCCTTACGATCCTTCTTTCCTTSTTTCCATWYTTCAGCGGTYCGTTTCCACGTTCTTTGTTCGATGAATTCAACACTGCTCRACAGGGATTGATTGCGGACGGGAATGACATGCGCCTTCACGGCGACGCACTGCGACCGCGCCATGGGGTCGTCGTCCTTCTCCTTCTCTTCTTCCACTGGAAGCTKACTGCAGATGTTCGCAGCAATGTCRCTCTTCCGTCCCAGGTCCGATTGCCGTAATTGKGGTCTACTATAAGTCCTCGATACATGGGGTTCTGGCGGTTTGGATCTGGCAAAACTTGCGGCATWTTCCAAACGATCATTCTCGGCTGCAGTCCTTTCACCCGCCCTCTTCACCAGCTGATCTACAGCATTTCTGTGATCCAAAGTTCCAAACCAATAAGAAAGAACAGTACAATCRCACATTTAGCTCATTGCCATACGGGCACCAGCTAGTCAGACGGGCTGCCAAGGAGTCGACCCGGCCCAAGAGAAGCACATCGCATCACCACCACRTGCACCAAAGCCTGCTACATCTGGCAGAGAACGGCCGCACATAAGGGTCTCATCGTCCCACCAAACACTGCTCGGGAAGTGACAAAGGAGGGGTCTTTCCACGGCTGGTTGTAAGGGGGAACAATTGTACATTGATTCTGGCTCATTCGTTCATTAATAAAGACGAAGAATTATTTTCCAGATAGGCAGAACGTTGTCGGTTGGGTTGGACAAGTGGAGGTGTACTTTGTACTTCAACACTGCAGCGGAAACAGTCCTTAATCATGGCGTCAATGCTCGAGTCTCATATCAAAACACTTGTCTGCAAGCTGAGGCAGCCAAGGCTGGGTAGTAGGTACAGCAAAGAGACATACTAGACCTGGTTGAGTCGAAGACTGCTTACGAAGATTTACAAACAGCTCAAACATCAGTACAAGGATCCGCAGCAGGCTCTTAAGGCCTGACCAGCGGTCCCAGAGTTGGGGAAGTACTATGGACGAACGTAACGATATGCAAGCCTTGTTCCAAAAGGCATCTCCATATTTTTTGCCACTCCAGAACTGCAAATCAGTGAGGTTCAAAAGGTGGACAGTGGACACCATAACAAAAGTGGTCCCCACCCATCACTCTATTTCGCCAGCTAACCATCCAAAACCTGAGCTTGAGGATTACTCACGTGAACTTACATATGCCTTGAGGCGGAAAAGAACACTGCAAGCTAGTCTAGTGATCACACACCCAAGAATCCGTTTCCCCGAGAGGCTGTTGCACGACAAACACATGATGGCGTACAATATGGCTGAGTCAGAGGACTGAGTGTGACGAGGACTAGGACCATAAGGATCGAGCCGGGAACTCTGGTGTCTGGCGTACAGTTTTGTCCTGTTCACTTGTCCGCCGCTGCCATGGTATACACTTCCTCAACTAGTACCACTTCCGCCAATACTACTACTACTCCTACTCCTACTCCAACGACTACGACTACTACGACTACTACTACTACTACTACTACTACTACTACTACTACTACTACTACTACTACGACTACTACCACTACTACTATACTACTACTACTACTACTACTACTACTACTACTACTACTACTACTACTACTACTACAACTACTACTACTACTACCAACTACGACTACTCTTGCTTCTACTTCCACTTGTACTAGTTCGGATGCTGATGTAGGACCGTGGGTTCCAGAAAATTTTTATCAAATCAATATCCACATGTGCTTGCAGAACCTGGTGGAGTAGCACACCAGACTGTGCTTCACAAGATTAAGTTCCTTCTCGACAGTCGCCCCCCCGAGGGACACGTGTGTCTGCCACCGATGGGGCCGGCTGAACGTGAGGAAATCCAGACACAGATCAAAGAATTGCCTGCAAAAGGTTGGATCAGACCCGACAAGTTCGAATATGGAGTGCGGCGTGGGCGTAAGTTTCGTACGTGCATTGATTACCGAAGTCTTAACCACATGACACACAAGAATGCCTATCCTTTGCCTCATATCGACAATCTCCTTGATGCAGTGGTCAGTAGCAAGGTGTTTTCCAGAATTTATCTTGAATCTGGCTATCAGCAGATTGAAGTCAATCCTGCAGAGAAGCACAAGACTGCGTTCAAGAACAGGTAGGGGTTATATGAGTTCATTGCCGTGCCCTTTGGACTCAAATGTGCGTGTTCCCAGCATGCTATACTTGCCACAACTCTCTCTGAGCCCACCAATCCGGCCTCTTATTTCTCTATTCATCAGTATTGACAAATCAACTGGGCATAACACAAAACTGGCTACTTGTAATAAGGCTGGAAATCTGTCCCCTTTGTATAGCGTCTAGTGCGACAGCAGCAGGAGGCTGTGCTTCTCTTACTCGCTGCTGCCCTTCTTCTTCTAGTCAGATTCCTGGTCTACGCTTGCCGGTGATAAGCAAACCGGACAGCTGCCCCCCAGAATAGATGGGGTGTAGATTGTTATTTTTTTTTTTTTTTAAAAGGGAGGAAATTCCCTTTAATTCCGAATCTTTCTTTTTTATTCTCATTCCTCTCCCTTTTTTCCACGCTTTTTTTATTTTTTTATTTATTTTTTTTATTTTTTTTATTTATTCTTAAATCAGGTCCTTATGGTCCTGGCTCCATATCCATTCTGGGGAGCGTCAGTCCGGTTCCTTTCCACCGGCAAGTCAAAAAYGGARTACRTGGTGAAACACYCTCACRCTTCCTTCCGTCTGGCCGAAGGAACCCTGACCAGCATTGATTGCTCCCTATCAGGAGGATTGACTGTCAGCTTGCCCTTCCACTTTTCCTCTCAGCGTCTATTGTGACTCTGTCAGATAATTCGTATGAAGCAAGAAAAGAGGAGAGTTGTCTATACTGTTGAGATTATAATCTCAGTTTGCCTTTCACTGTGTCCCTGCCCTTGTGCTGTGCCATTTCTTCCAAACCAGTCTGCTATGTGCCACGTTGGCAATCCTTCCCTGTTGGAGCCAGTCTCTAATGAACACCCGTCTCTCTCTTGGCACCTCATTTCCTTTGATCGTCTTGGTACCTCTCCTCTTCCAGATTACCCATAGAGCCGGCTTCCTGAGTAGATGGTGCATGATCTGCCTTTTAATGTCCCGACGTATCTGATTGATACCTCTTCTTCCATACCAGCCTGTTGTCTGCTATGGTGGCGATCTTGCCCGTTATCAACCACTCCCTCAGGAATGTCCGTCTCTTGATGGCTTGTCTCTGTGGTCTTAGCTTTGTAGAGGAGATTATCTTGCGCCAGTTGCTCCGGATTTCCGTCTCCACCATCCTCAGCAGCACGGCCCACATTTCCTCTCTTGCACCTTCTGTCTTCTCGATTGTCTGCGTGCATCTGCGTTTCCATATGACCCATAGTGCCAGCTTTCTGAGTAGCCTGAACCAGACCTCCTTGCCTGAACCAGACCTCCTTGCTGCCCTTGAGCTCCGGGGGATTGTTGAGGAGTAGTAGAATGGTGAGGGGGGTAGTGG